GTTGGTGCTTAGATTGTTTCACATTTTCACCACTACAATTAACAAAAAGAATATTATTAAAAAAAAAACCTTTTTGCACATGTGTAAATATTTCTGCAGAATATATGCCTTGAAGGAATTGCTGAGTTAAAGTATATTCACATTTAAAATTTTGGTAGATACTGCTAAATCAAAGCTCCAAAATTCTTTATTGCTTTGCTCTAACACATTAAAGTATATGAGAGTTCTTGCTTTCCCACACACTCAATCATAATACTTAATATAACTTTTATCAATGTGATGGATAAAGATTATATATGCATATAAGTTTAGTTGTTGAATTTTTGGTGAACATTGAGAAATGATCAGCAAATAATTACACTTGTACTTAGGTTGATTATATTGTTCTTAGTCTGGTTTTTCAATCAATACATTTTAAAAATTAGCTCATGGATTATTTTACTAAGTCTGTCAGTACAAATCTACTTCAGATGATAGTTGATGAGTAGAGGTTAGCCATAGGTGCAGGTGCTAAAATTTTAGCTACACCAGTAGTAGGGACAAAGTGATTTAATATTTTGAGATTTTCTTTTTAAGATGTGTTATAATTTCTCTGTTAAATGAATTGTGGTTAAATAAGGGTTAACTGTAGAGTGTACATCAGAAATGATGAATCTGTCTGTCTCTTTCTTGACTTTATTTTAGGTTCAGAGACAAATTAAGAGGGAGGTACAGAGATTTCCCATATCAATCCAGTTTCTACACATGTAAAGCCACCCTCATTATCAACATTTCCTATCAGAGTGAAAATTCCTATACTTGTTACGATTGATGAACCTATATTGACACATTGTAATCACCCAAAAGTCAGTAGTTTACATTAGGGTTTACTCTTGGTGCTGTATATTCTGTGAGTTAGGACAAACATATAATGACATATATCCACTGTTAAATTATCACGCAATTTTCACTAGCCTAAAAACCCTCTGTGCTCTCCCTATTCATCCTTTCCTTTAACCAATCCTTCCCAACCACTGGCAAACATGAATTTTTTTTTTTTAACTTTCTCTAAAGTTTTGTCTTTTCTGGAATGTCCTGTAGTTGGAATCATATTGCATGTAACCTTTTTGAATTGGCTTTAGTCACTTAGTATGCATTTAAGTTTCCTTCATGTCTTTTCATGGCTGTTTAGCACTTAATAATATTCTATTTTCTAATATACCACAGTTTATAATTCATTTACCTACCAGAGGACAACTTGGTTGCTTCCAAGTTTTGGCAATTATGAATAACGCTGCTCTAAACATCTGGGTACAAATGTTCATATGAACATACATTTTCTACTCTTTTGAGTAGATGTCAAAGAGCAGGATTTAGTTTTCTACTCATATCATATGACATGAGTAGAAATGTATGAATTTCTTTCTTTTGTAGGAAGCTGCTATACTGTCTTCCGAAGTTGCTGTACCATTTTGCATTCCCACTAATGACGAACGACAGTTTGTGTTGCTCCAGATCCTCACCAGCATTTGATGTTGTCAGCTTTCTGGATTTTCGCCACTCTAATAGGTGTACTGTGGTATCACATTGTTGTTTTAACTTGTGTTTCCCAAATGACATATGATATAGAGCTCCTTTCTATGCTTATTTGCTATCTGAATATCTTCTTTGGAGAGGCATCAGTTAAGGCCTTTGGCACATTTAAAAAGGTTGTGTGCTTTCTTGTTGAATTGTAACAGTTCTTTGTATATTTTGCATAACAGTCCTTTTGCAGATGTGCCTTTGAAATATTTTCTCCCAGTCTTTGGTTTGTCTTATCTTCGTGACATTGGCTTTCACGGAGCAGAAGTTTTTTTTTTTTTAATTTTAATGACGTTCAGCTTATCAATTATTTTTTTCATGGATCATACCTTTGGTGTTATATCTAAAATGTCGTCACCATACCCAAGGTCATTTGATTTTCATGCACTTTATTTTCTAAGAGTTTTATAGTTTTGTATCTTACATTTAACTCTATAAATCATTCTAAGTTTATTTTTGTGAAGTGAATAATACCTGTGTCTAGATTCAGTGTTTTGCATGTGAATATATAGCACCATTTGTTGAAAAGACTATCTTTGCTTTATTGTACTGCCTTTGCTTCTTTGCTGAAGATCAGTTGACTGTATTTACGTGATTCCTCCGAGGCTGAGAGCTGCTGGGCTGTGGAGATCTTGCGCAGGATGGTTGGCTTGCGGTGTGGCCTGCGAGAGCCGCCCCAAGCATCCCCGGTGGAGGAGGTCTGCAGAGAGATGCTGAAGCCAGACGCGTGTTTATGAGGCGAGACCGCCACGGGGGGAGTTCTGCGCTCCGAGGGCCTCAGAAGTGTGCCCTGGTGCTCCAGGTGGCTGCAGAAGATCTCCTGGGCCAGCTGGGCCACCAGGTGCTTGCTGTAGAGGTCGCGCAGCTCCTCGGGCTGCTGCGAGAGGTTCCTGAGGATATCATCCAGGCGCTGCTGCTCGGTCACCACGGCGAAGGGCAGGTGCAGGAGCGCTTGCTCCATGCCCGGGTTCCTCCTCCGAGGTTGCGTTCCTTTCCGAGGATGCTGCCAAGGTCTGCAGAGAATTCACCGAGCGTGAGCAAGGAGAGGTCCGCTTCTCTGCCGTGGCTCTCTGCAAGGCAGCCTAATGGTTTGTGGGAGGGACTTTGCTGTTTTCCCCTCTTCCCTTCAACGTGAAAATATATACCTCCCCATGCAGTCTAAAACGCTTTAGTACTTGTGAAACACAGCTGTCCTCCTTCCATCTTGCAGACATGCCTTCCCCTCAGCCACACCCAAGCACAAGCAGAGTACACAGCTGTCCACTGGGCCAGTGTGGTGTGAGCTTCAGATGGCAAAGCATTCTCCCCAGTGTATGTCTTGTACCCAATATCTAATGCTTTCAATGGCTACTTTGGTTTCTGTTCGTAAGTTAAGACCTTGGATGTGGTTTAATTGTTTGTCCTCAAAAGGAATAAAACTTTTCTGCTGATAAGAGATAGCCACACACAAAAAATTTTTTTTTCATGAAACAAATAACACAACCTCTTTTACTTTGTTAAATAGTATAATGCATAAAATGTTAGGTGAAATATGAATCATGGAAAATGCTGAATACTCTGATGTTGTCTGGAAAAGTCAACATGTGCATTCATGTAGTAAAGGCTTTGAGAATTGCTCCAGACAATCTTTTTATATTTGTTACTTAAACTACTGGAACCTACATGCTTTATGTGAATTGCAAAGCAATTCTACATTCTCAAACAAAAATATGTATTGCTTTCTGTGATGCCTTGAATAATTAAGACTACATGAGCACAAGATAGGAGAGATATACACACACCAAAGAAAATGCCTATGATTAATAACTACAAATAAAAAGATACACTGCCAATTCAACCATGGTACCTGTTTCTTATCACAGGTATTTTACCTTATGCTTCTTGAAAGACACATTTTCATGGAATTTTATCACACATTACTTCTGTGCATTTCTAAAACTAAAAACTATAAGTGAAATAGATTGGATAAGATATTCCTGAAGAATTATTTATGTTTAGGGTTTGAACTTTGAAATTTCTTCTTACCCAGATTCACAGGGGGAAAACTGGAGAATGGAAGCTACATGTGAAGGAAGGCTAGGCAGAAAGCTCGAAGGAAATTGGATTTTTACAGCTCCATGAGATTGCACCACTGCACTCCAGCCTGGGTGACAGAGTGAGACTCTGTCTCAAAAGAAAGAACCTCCTGGGAAACAGCAGCCTAGTTTTGGAGGGTAAGATGTGGGTTCATGAAAGCCAACCACCAAGACAAAGCACGGTTCGAATAGGACAGACAATGGGATAGAGAATTTCACAGAAGACAGGTCAGCTGAGGGGCCTGTACACAGGGTGTTGAGGAACCACACGCGGGAGCCAAGAGTCCTGCCTTGTGCCTGGCCCAGGCTTACCCCACCTCTGGCCTCACCTCCTCCAGGAAGCCTTCCCAGCTACCCAAATCTCAGTCCGGTGGCCTTGCAGGTCCCTATAGCACCCTGAGCCTGCACCTTGGTGGCACTTCCTATGCTGTCATTTGCTAACTGTTTGCGCCTCTGTCTCACTGTTAGATTCTGAGCTCCCACGGGCGGAGACCCACTTATTCCTGTGTGTCCCCAGCCCAGTCCCTGTCACATTTGTTAAATGAAAGAACAATGAATCCCAACATAACGTCAGTCCACAGAACTGGCTACAGCTGCAGTGGTGGCCACAGACTTGGTTGTGAACTTCCTGGCACCAGAGTTCCCCTGGTCAGTTACAGTAAAAT